ACAGTATACTTCAAGAATTCCATACTCATGGAAAAATGACTACATTTGCTACTCAAAGAGACATACATTTAAAATGACAGCATAAACCAGGAGCCTGGTGCTTCTAGCTAGTCAGGAACCAAGATCATCAGTGATCAAAGGGATAGGGGTAGACAAATAAAGTCAAGAATTCAGTGTATATTCTAAAAAATCAAAGAAGAGTGAGGGAAGGGTTGAGGCAGGTGGGATAGGTAAGAATGCTGAAAGTGGTGTCATTGATCAAGATGCATTGTCTTCATGAACTACTTTGTTTAATGTCAACTCCTTTGTACAACTAACTTAAAGATAATTTAAGAACAAATATTTAGAAGAGCTAAAGGATCATCAGACAAATATGAGATTCTTCATCATTAAAGGCTTCAGAAATAAAGTCTTAGAAGCACAACAGTGGTTCTACTTAGAATTTTAGTGAAACAACACATATTCAAATAGGTAAATTCTAATCCAAATGGGGTTTGACATTATCCTCACAGATAATACAGAGAATATTTCTTGAGCTCTAACTATAAGCAAATCTCAGAACTTCCAACATCCTATCATAAATTAAAAGGCTTTTAAGAATGTTTATTCCAACAGAAATAAGCAATACTCTAGCATCTTTGAAAAGGTACTTTTGTTGGAATTTACAAGCATATACCATTTCAGTCTGGCAGAACCCCATCATCAATCATCCAAAATCACATAGCAGCTGAATCACAAAATGTACACCCAGACCACATTTTCAATTTCTTACTGGACACAAGTCTGCTCCAGTTATCAGGAGGCCAGCATGTTCCTATTACCCTGACTGTGGCTATTGCCCCACAAACAGTGAAAGAGTTTTATCCAGGCATTTAAAATCCATGAAGACATCATGGAGCTCATGTAAACAGCATTAACTCCAGCTTTCCTCATAGTAGTTGAGAGAGTATAGGTCATAGCTGAAAATTAGCATTTTACAGGAACAAGCAATGAATCTAAACTTGCCATAGCCTGAGGAAACTTCTGTAACTACTAAAGAAGGCAGAGCACATACTGTAGAAGAAATTCCTAGCACTGTGGACACAAGGTATCATGACAATTCTCTAATGTCCACAATGAAATGACAAAGCATGACATGATTTTGGGTTTCAACCAAGCTAATGATCTTTCTGTTTTCTTTACTGAAATTTAGGAGGAAGAAGTAGTTACATGTATTATGATTTTTAGTATTATATTCATCATACAAAATGCTCTTTGCACAATTAACATGAGATAATACATTGTACACTGTAAACTTATTTGGAAAGGCTGTAAACCAGGCACATCACTATTTACTGTCATACACATTATTTAACTCCCATAATCATGACAGTCAGAGGTAGCTTTTATTACCCTCTCTCTTTTAATACTCAAGTTTGATTCAGGAGCATAAACTAGCTAAGCAAACGCACTTGATTCATGTCTCTAGCATTTTTTTTGTTTTAGGTACTTTTAGATGCAATTTTATGCTTTTGCCCTGACCAGATTTTTTTGCCGTGACCTACCTCTACCTCCTGAGTAGCTGTGATTATCCATGAGTACCACCACTAGCTTACATTTTTAATTATCTTTAAGCAATTGTAGAAATGAGTTACCATTCAATAAATCAGTTTATGAATGTAATGTGTCTTGATCAATGTCACCCCTGTCAATATTCTAACCAGTCCCTCTCAACTTTCCCCTTCCTTCACTTTTCTTTCTTTCTTTTTTTTTTTTTAAAGCAGCAAAGAGCTGGTTTATTGCAAGCTCGAGCTTGGTCCTCTGCGCACAAGGTAACCGGTGAAGCTAAGAGGCCCTGAGCATAGAATCAGCGCAGTTTTTATAGTATTGAACAAACAACTTTAAGGAACTTTTACATAAGAAATTACATGATTGGTTAACATTTACATTTAAAGCAAGCTAAACTGGGCAAATAATGATTGGTTGATGTTTACAGAAAAATGTCCTTGGTCCATAGCTTGACTGAAAAAGGTTACAAGTCACACCCGGACCAACAGAATGCATGGCATGTCTCGCCCTGGGCTCTGAAGAACTGGTTGTTTAGAAACTCTTAGTCCTAGGTGGCTGGGGGGCAACACCACTTGGTGGCTAACACCTGCCTTAAGCAAACGCCATCTATGGCTCCAAGAATTGTGCATGGCTTTCTGTCATAAATTCCTAGTATTGGGGCTAAAGTGGATCACGCACGAGTCAAGTCGCAGAACTGAGATGGAGTGTTAAACAAAAATGGAGTTGCTTAGGTTTCTTAAACATTATATTTCTTCCCTAGGGCCTTACTGCCTCGGCCTCCGGGAGGGGTTTGCAGCTTTGGGGGATGATTCTGAGGACTTTGCACCCTTGGTCAAGGCTGTAAAGCCTTTGAAGTCTTTTACTAAGCAACTCTAGGCTCCCAGGCTGACATTCCACTACTAACTAAAACCAGTCACAGTTAAAATCATACAAAAACCATACAATCATCTAACACAAAGCAAAATCATCTAACACAAAGCAATTCGCACAGAAGCAAAAATGGCTCTTAGGTGCTGTCATATATATATATATATATATATATATATATGTATATATATATATATATATACACACACACAAACACACACACACACATATATGATTATTTTTTTACGTTTTTCAGGGGAATGAAGAATGCCCTTCACTTTTCTTAATACTTTAGGATATACATGGAGGTTGGTTTGTTTTTTTTTTTTCACTCTATTCTTCCCCTTCTTTTCTCTATTCATGTACTCCTCTCCCCTTGTCCCCTCTCCGCTGCTTTCAGGTTCCCGTTCCTTGGTGTTTATTTTGTTGAACTTAGATTTTGCCTTTCTAAGTAATTAAAGCAAGTTCTTCACTATTAGCTTACTTATTGATAGTCTTGCTAACTTTTGTGAAGGCTGACTTTGAACATGATCTTTCATCTTCATCTCCCTGATAGCTGATATTATCCTCTCCTGACTGCTGAAGGAAAGGACAATTCCTGAGACACTATGAATGATGAATAGTTTAGTTAAAATTCCAAGAGCCCAAGGCTTCTGACATTGACACTTCACTGTGGCCCCACACTCAACACACAATATTTTTATGAACTCTATGTGTGGGATTTTCCCCATACCAAATAATTTTCTGACACCAACTGGAAGTCGTACAATTCAACTCAGTGTTCACATTCTATTCTTGGAGACAGCATCAAATTCAACAAGGGCTCAATCCTCTAAGACTTCCTTCATTTCAGACATCACAGGTCTTAGCTTGTCATTCAGGCTTCTGGCAGTCTAGTTCTAAGTCAAGGTTCCTATAGCTCCTTCCTCAGAATCTGTAAATTACCTGGACAACTCATGGAAATCAAGGAAACACTCTGCTTACATTGTCTATTATAGGCTATTATAATAGATACAGATGGTGCCAGATAGAAGAATTGAATATGTCATCTTCCTCCCTATGAATCTGCATGTGTGGAAAAACTCTGAACCTCATAGTTGAACAATCTTTATAGAGGCTTCACCATCTAGGCATGGTTAGTGATTAACTCAATCTCCACTCCTTGCTTTTTCCCAGTAAATGAAGTGTGGGACTTAAAATTCCAAGCTTCTAATAATGGCCTGGTCTTTCTAATAAATATTCTCCATCCAAAAGCAAACGAATTTTCATGTTATTAGGAAAAAGATGATACCTATCACCCAGTAAAATTCCAACGGACTTCAGAGCTTATCACAGACAAAGAACAAAGACTAAATTACAGAATAAAAAAATCTACTAGCACACGGATTGCTCAGGACATTAGCAACTATGCCAAGAAACAAGTATGAAGACCAAACATGTATATTTCTTATTATAAACAATAATACAACACAAAGAAAAGCCACACAAAAGTGCTTGTGTTGGTAAATTGCACAAGGTGTCATATTTAAGCATTGTTTAACAGTAGAAGTAGACACTATTCGTTTTAACCATTTAACATAGCTACTAAAATCTGTTGTCACCCTCTACTTCCTCTACTTAATTAAACAAGAATCTGGTTTCTTGAAGTAACCAATTAAGTCATTTGATATAAATGCATGTCAGCCTAATTATGGCAGTGATTTAAAAGTAAAGAATGAAATAACACGACAAAAGATAGAGAGGGAGAGACAATGATGTGGGGGAGAAAATACTCTGCTGCATGTCAACCCTGGATGAATGTTAATATTCCACTTCATAATTTCCTTCTGTTCTGTGGGTTCCTTTGCTCTAAACGTCAAAACATTTCATGCCACATACCAAGAGCATTTTAAGTGGGGCTCCTCATGGAAGAACTGATTAGTCAATGTGCTCAATATTCTCCCAAGAGACTTAATTCCTTTTAATCTCCAGGATAAAGATGTAAAATGTCACTTTTATCATCGCCATGTGACTTACATATTTTTAAATTATCCTTCATTTTCAGCAACCATTGTCCCAAAAGCTTTGTTATCAAGGAAAGACATCACTTTTAATAGTTTTACAAATCTTGACAGCTTATACTTTAAAATGGTTCTTTATAAATATTAGTGTTATGTCTAGAGCTGGTTTTAATCTAATGAAACATAAATGAAAAGATCTCACTTAGTCTTTTTTCTTTCTTTTTAACCTTGGCATCTTTATGAGGTTACATTTGTTGATAATGTATAAAAGCATGAACTCAACCACAGCAAATACAAGTGGAATTAATATGTTTTTAAAATTATCCAGATTAATTCTATTTTCTATTTGTCATGACAAAGTAAAGACTCCAGAGTACCCTGTGTTAACAATGCTCTTATGTTATGGAACATGTAACTCCATACAAAGTGAACAATCCCACTTTGCAGCAATGAGACACTTGACTGAATCACAAATTTGGAAAGACAGGAAAGACTGCTTTTCTCCTTCAGGAATGACCTTTGGAGAGTGGCAACATGTCATTTGGGAGTGTCCTTTAACAACTGTAGTACATTGTTGAGTCATACCTTTTTCATCCTGACAGACAGCCTTCAGGATGTGATGTCCAGGGCCACATTTTCCATGATCAGCTATACAGATTCCTTCTGATACCAGCCATTGATAACACATTGGATCCTCACAAGGAACAGATTCCACCAAATGAGGACAATGCCCCATAGGCCCTGTGGATTCCATAAGCACATGACGCTGCCTCATTTTAAAACCTAAAAGAGAAAAGAGCAAAGGTTTCACAAGATTCCATTCTTACTGAACAAAAGAAAAGAAGCAGCTGCTATGTAAGATGAAATTTTTATATGAATGTAACTTTGAAGCAGGAATTACTTCTGTTTTTAATTTTGAGTTTGAACTCAGGGCATCATCTTTGTTAGGCAGCTCTCCACCAATTATGCCATAACCTCACATACACCTAGCCATTTTGCTTCCATTACTTTTTAATAGGGTCTCATTCTTATGCTCAGGCTAGCCTGGACCATGGTGAGTGCCACTGTACCCAGCTAAATGATGTATTATCTTAATGTCTACCTTATGGAAATTGGAAGAATTAGAAGTAAAAAGGAAAAAAAAGTAGAAATAAAGGAGTAAAGAAAAACTGTCTTCCAAGAGTTTACAATATGGATGTTGGATATAAAGTAAGATATTACAAGCCAGATGTAATAATGACAAAATAAATAATATGCATCTAATGCTATCAATAATCCAATAAATAGTGAGAATGGCCTTCTCACAGACAGATCTTCATTTTAGTTCTGCTGTTCTTTTTGACATCCTTATTACTCAGTATTAACCCAAAATGTATTTACTCTTTAGTTTGTGACTGGTACTCTGACATTTGCAGCTTCTTGCTTTGAGAATTCCCTGCATGGCAACACTGAGATTTCCACATCATTCTTTTTTGTAAGATACTATCTCTATGGATCTCACTGTACATCCTGGTCAAGCATGAATTTCTATTCTGTTTTTATTGTATTTTATGTACCATGAGATTAGGACCTCAAACTCTCACCGATAAGAGACCATAAGTCTATACAGTTACAAACCATATCAGCCAGGGTCAATCAGGTAAACATGGAAGGAAAACAATCAAGTATTAAACTATAAAAACATGATCCATCAATGGAAAATGAAGAATGCAGGCACACTATAAATTGCTTGGCTAATATTTGACTTCCATTGATAGTTGCCATAAAATAGTATGGACCTTTAGTTTAAAGATCTTTCAACTTTCCCACAAATAAAACGCCAAACACAAGTTATGTTTTGTTTTTATGTGGAATCATTCTTTTTAATAATGGAGATAAAAGTCACATTCCAAAAAGCAACATCACCAGTAAATTCACTTAAAAAGGAATGACTGAAGTGGCACTGTAGCTCAAGTGGTAGAGCGCTAGCCTTGAGTTGAATGGCTGAAGGACAGCGCTTAGGCCCAGAGTTCAAGCCCCATGACTGACCGAAAAAGAATCTCAAAAAGGAATGACTGAGAAATCAATTAAATTCTTTAGTCTGGATTTTTCACTGTCTGGCCTTCATGGTATTTAGCTTTTAATGGTGATGTCTTTCTTCCCTGGAGCTCATCTTTTCTTCCATTGTTTGGATTCCAACCTTACTTTAATTACCTTTTAATTATTTTATGCATCCAATCTGTTGCATAGATAACATCTTAAAAAGTCATCATTAATGTTTTAGCTAGGGTAAATAAGTAAAATAAGAGAAAATAAGAGGTAGACTCTCCCATCACTTTTCCCATAAAAGAAGGGAGAACAGGCTAGGAGGCAAGATAGGAAACAAATTCAGGTCCATCCTACTTAAAATTGTATTATCATTAGCAATAAAATGGAAAGGTTCCAAAGTTCAAACTGTTGTGGAAGAAAGAGGGGTTCTTCTTAAATATACAGCCAAGGAATCTAACATAAAATGGTCATGTGGTTTCAGAACACCACAGGGATCTAAACTTGCTTATAGTAGGACAGGGATGAGAATGCAAATAAATAGTCATAGTACTTTAATTGTGTTTTCTTATTCTTGGGTAATCCTCTCTATAAATGAGTCTGGGGTGGGGATAACAGGTGAGATGGGAGAAAATGATAGAAGTGACTATGATCAAGAAGCACTATACTCTTAGAAGGACATGTGAAATTGTAACCTCATATATACCTTTGAAGTTCAGAAAATTTAGAAAAAAAGAAATAGTCAAATCTCACTTTAAGAACCAGCTACCTACATGAACTCATGATTCAGCCAAGGGTGACTCTATTCTCATGACACTGAGATTGAGATTAATCAAAAAGAAAAGGCTGCCTGCTTTAGCATCTCATAGTTGTAAGGTTATATCATTAACTAGCAAAAATAAAATGTACATAAAGGCTTAACACCCTCCTAGGGCAACCACAAGGAGAGATGTTGACAAGACACTGGACTCCAAACTAGACTTCGGTGAACATAAACCTATAATGATTTCCTAGTTTTGCTGCCACACAACTCAAATGCCCTCTATTCTTCTAATGTAACACTAGAATGCTGCTTGTTTGTTGGCTTATGTTTGCACTTTCTTAGATTTTTCATATAGATGAATAAAACACAGCATGGATCCTCATGGTTTACATTGTTTGATCGTTTAAACTGTTTGACAACCAGCAAAGAGTGAAGTACATACACCTAACAGTCTCTGCTGAAGAATTCCGGGTGTTGCATTCCTGAAGCCATTGAGGAGCATGTGCAGTTTTCCTCTACAAGGCAATTGCATCCATCTTTCCATGGATCTATGAGCTGCATTGCCTCAGTCGATAAATTCTTTCCGGTTTTCATTTGTGCTGCCCTTGTCAAGACTAACTAGGATCCAATGACATTACAAGCTCAGCATAAAACAAAAACCTTGAGTTCTTGTTATTATTTAATCACACATTGACATTCATGGCTACAAGTAGACATTAGACTTCTCCCAAGTTCTGTTCCAAAAGCAATACAACAACTAAGTTCACTGTAGCTAAGTCTCCCAAACACTCACTTAATTTCAATTTAATCAGGCAATATCATTCAATAAATATGAACAGTTTTGTATAGCTCATCACCTTCTATTGTGAGATGCCACAGGAAAGACAGAAAACTTACACCTATTCCTCAGAAAGCACATAATCCAACAAGTAAAAAGGGTATATAAATTAAGCTTCTATGGGAAAATTAGGAAAGCTATTTTACTTATATTACCATAAATTACCTCAAAAATATATTGCAAATTACTATCCCCATTTTATATATGTGAAAGCTAAGGCTAGATTATGTTCTATTACTTTCCTTTATTGATGTTTTTATTACAGATTATGTGAGTGGGTATGAAAGTCAACTCTTGTGTATGTTGTAGTTTAATCCTACTTCATAAAATAAACCCAAAACATAGAATGTATTACTCTCTTAAACTAAAAGTATACGGATGTAAAAATAGAACTTAAGGCACTAAATAGAAGAATTATAACCATCATTTCCTGACCATAGAGTCAGTTCCCCTTCACTAAAATTAATATTATCAGGGTTTCTTTTTATCTTCCTATGGCTCAATACATTTTTATAGTACATAATTCTACAGAAAATCCTTGCAAAGGAGTGAATACAGTAGTGGGTTGGGGAAAGGAAAGAGAAGACAGCAGGAGAAAGGTCAATATATTTTAATAGAAAATAGGAAAAACTAAATGAGACTCAGGAAGGTGTGTCAGGTCCAGCAACTGACTTTCTGCTCTTCTATTGGATCGGAAGAGTTCGTGTGAACTTCCGCAGGGAGCTCTATGAATACCTCTGTGTCTCTATATTGACTCCACAGAGACAGGCTTGAAGAAATAAACAAGGATTAAACAAAGATCACGGAAGCTTATGCGCCTGACGCATTTCATTTGCTCTTTGTCTTGGAGAGATGTTGGATAACAACTCAGAATCAAAGAACTGGGCAGATTGAATTGGTGATTTCATCCCTTTATACATAACCCACAACTCCTACAGGAATAGCATTTTATAGAACTGTTATTTGTTCCCAGCCTTTGGTGAGCTTAGAAAATAAGAAGCAGAAGAAACATGAATAGAGTGATGCCTTCCTGAGAATGGCATAGTACATACTAGTGCCAACACACAATGTCATAAAAATAAGAAAATCAGTCTTTTAGCATACAAATTATCTATAATAATATGTAAAATATTTTATAAGCTTCTCATTAACAATGGAGTCTATTTAGGAGACAAGGATTTTTCTCCATTAATATTATACAAGATCTATGGATAAGATGAAAGGTTATATGAACACCTGTAGTTACCTAAATTAATTTTGTTTCAGAACATCAAAAGCAAAGTGTCAAAACAGCCATAAACTTCTGGGCTACAAGCTATGCTTTCTTATGGAAATTGGGGAGATTTTTGGAGCTACAGTAGAAGAGGATATTATATTGATAGCCATCCTTGGCCTCCTAGACAGATAGCTTTTGGGATGCTATATAGAAAAATCTCCATTAGATTCCTTCCTATAAAGTTGCCTTTCTAGACTGTCTGCAAGGGACAATGTAAGATAAATGTAAGTCAATACATCAAGATCTTTTAAAAATATGTATTACACTTACATGTAGCTATCCATCAGCATTCTTCTCCACTAATTTTTTTACATACTTCTCTAATTATAACATTACAGAGTATCTCCAAGATAAAGCAATAAATGATCAGACATGATGTAATTTATAATTCCTCTGAAAGGCACTCTAGCCCCCTTGACAAGCATAAACCTGTGGAGATCTGCCTTGTCTGTCAGTCACTGATGTGATGGAAGGTTTTGAAACAAGTGAACACCACTGATTTTCTAATGCACACTGAATAGCTGACAGCCAAAAAGTTTAAATGATGCCTGATTGAAGGGTGCCTGACTGAGAATAATAGTTATGAAAAGATAATTTCTATAAAAACTAATTTCTTCTATTAGGTAATAAAACACTTCCTACTTGATGGAGAAGAAATACACCTTTCTATTATATATATATATGTATATATATATATATTTTTTTTTGAGTGTGTGAACAAAAAGAAACTGCCAAAACATGGTGTCTGGGGAAAAGACATGAGGAGAAAAAGTTTCCAACTGTCTACCTTTATTTTGTTGTAGTTAGGTTTTTCCCTCAAATAATACCTGACTTTTTCTCTTTTTCACCTTTGTACATACAATGAAATGTAGATATAATTACGTGTATGTGTCTGTGTCTGTGTGTGTGTGTGTGTGTCTGTGTCTGTGTCTGTGTCTGTGTGTCTGTGTCTGTGTCTGTGTGCATATGCGCCAGTCATCAGACTTGAACTCTGGGCCTATGTGTTTTCTCTGAGTTTTGTTCAAGGTCAATGCTCTACTATTTGAGCCATGGCTCTACATCCAACAATTTTTGGATTACTTATTCAAGATAAGTGTCTCACAAACTTTTCCTATCCAGGTTGCTTTGAACTGTGACTCAGATTTTAGCTTTTAAGTAGCTAAGATTATAGGAGTTAGCCACTCAGCAATGGTAAAGACTTACAGTTACTGGAGAAGCTGTTGGGTACTATGAACCAGAGTTTGAGCCTACTCAATTCCAATATGCTATGAAATTCTGTGGGATCCCTGACCTTGCCTTCTCTTCATTTACAGTTTTTTCTTTGGGATTATACCAGTATGAATTGAGTTTCTGTCACTAACACCCAAAAGTGTCCCCATTGGTATGAGTTCTGTAGCTTTTAACATAAGGAAAGTAGCATTCAAAGCAGCAAAATAATACCTAGATGAATGGCCCTGCCAGGGTGGCTGGGGTAGCATGACCTAGCCTCACATGGCTTCCCAGAATGGCTGTAATAAGCCAGGCATAGATGGAATGCAGAACTGGTTCCAAGAACGTGCAAGTGACCTGTGGGAGTCTCATCTATAATTACAAAGACTGAAGGAGGCCTGATTATACATGTTTCAACCACAGAGCCATAGATTATTGCTACTAGTTTTAATGGAATGTATTTGTATCTACACACTGAAGCTGTGTGAGGGCATTCTGGTTACATGTCAAAGAAAGGAGTAGCAAGACCTCCCCACCTCTGCTCTCTTGAGACACAAATAACTACGATTTGATGAAAGACTGAAACTTTGCTTCTTCCTGCCCAAGACTTACTGCTCATCTTCTTCTACTTTAGAACAAGAGTCATTATAAAAGTCCAGATACATGGGATGTGATTCTGGGTGTGCATATGTGTTCCTGTGAGCACTCCAGAGATATTGATATGTAGGTTTTCAAATGGATGCATTGAGCTGTGTGCTGGGATAAGGACACCAGGGGTGTAGCTGTGAGCCTTGCTCACATGCTCTTTCTGTGCATGTAAAGTAATTAGTAGACAGCTAACTTCCAACTTAACATACATGGATCTTAGTTCTCTTTTAAAAGTAAGTATATTTTCTTAGCACTAATATATAAGGGAATACAATATCAGCAGAAATTAACAGATCAATGAAAGAAAAGGCAAATTGTTTCTGAAAACAATTTTTCAGGGTGGTGATGTGCACTTTAATCAGAAACTCAAGAAAACTAGACAACAAAATTCCATAAAGTCAAATCAGCACAAAAAAATGTGTGAAGATTTCACTTCAAGCCTTAGGATAACATTAAAAAGTTAGCATTACACATTAGTACCCTTTTGGGTACTAATATGAAATATCAAATATTATCAAATCAATATCAAATATTTATATATGTATATAAAGTAATATATGTATATTACATATAATTGATACATATATATGTGTAATATGAAATTGAATGTACTCATTCCATCACTGCAACCCCAACCCCAAGACAAAATCAAGGTCAGATGCTCTGCTCCACAGAAATCTCCCCAATTTCCTCCCTAATGAATGAGTGCTGCTAGGGTAGAGGTGGTTATCTAAATTTCACAAACAAATGCTGTCTTAAGCAGGATTAGTCAGACATTTAGTCAGCAGAATAAACACATGCACAGTAGAAATCTAATCTATACCAAACATGCAAACAGAGCACTCACCTTTCCTCCCCTGGGGATCTTGGCAGTTTTCATGAGTGCACTGGCCCCAGGCTGACCAGGAAGAAACTATACAATCAGTAGAACAAGGAACGTTGCAGAGCTGAGAGGCAGAAGGGGCAGGTCCAAAACATAGTGTGTTTTCTACGGGTCTAAGGACTGAAAGACAAAAAATAAAGGTCCATGTTACATTCTTTGGACATCCTAGAATTGTTTCTAACTTCCCTGTACGGTTATCTGCTTCACCACACCAGTTTTATGGCTACACGGGATATAGGAAAACAAAATATGAGCAGTCTCTAACTATATTTAAACATGTTGGCTCTATACTATTAGCATTGGGAAGGAAGACAGTAACAAAGGGCTTGCACTTGATATTCCTCAATTGCAGAATAATTCCCTTGGAATTCAAGAGCACAGTGGAAATATCATAGATACAAATTATCCAGAGTGATGACTTAAAACAAAATTAAATAGCTTTGTGAAGTTTCAAGATGAGTCTATCTTGACTATATAAATGACTGGGTTGGTAGGGAAAAAAATCAAAATTGAACCCCTGAGGTGAAGTGTTTAGCATAACCAATCTACTGTTGTGACTCCCCCGAGGGGTGGAGCTGGCAAAGACACAGAAGAAAAATGGTTCTTACAATAGAAGAAAAATTGGGCTCTGTGGCTGTGGAACTGACTGTTGGAAATCAGTTTCATTACCGAGGGTACCCAGGTGTACAGAGGTCCCTCTGATGGAAGATAAAACTAGGAACCTCCAGCTTTTTCTTGTGTGCACCTGTACCTTAACCATACCTGCATACTGGTCAAAGTTGTGCATCTTCAGAAGGCAGTAATCACCTGTCCCTCAGTGGGATATGCCACCTAGTATCTCCACAAATGAAGAGGGAGACAAGATAGTGACTTTTATGGACATGATAGCATATATTCTAGCTAAGGTTCCTAAAAATGACATATCACATGGACTATCAAGTGCATATTCTTACACAGAGTGACTCCATGCTGAGAAGGTTTTGGAATAATACAGACTTTGTGAGAAAATGCTTTCAACTCACAAGGTTTTATTTTTATGTGCTGGCTCCTACTATTGTCTAAAAATTTCCTATATACCATTTATATATAAATGGGCAGTTCAAAATGCATCAAAAATGGAAATTGGCCCAAGGAGACTGAGTAGTGAATCATACTTTCTCAATTTCCTCAACTTTTTCTTATGTGTTTTGTCAAGTGAGGTAAAGACAACGATCAACCACAGCTCTAACCAACAGAATGCTGAATTGGGGCAGGGGGAGCAAAGTAATAAAATAACAGTAAAATAAAATATTGTTGTAAAAATAAAGTGACTTGCTCTGTGGGGGAGAGGTAGATTAATGAACAATGAGAATGCTTATATAAATTCCTTATGCAAATGAAAGAGAAAAGGGTAATGAAAAAGTAAGAATGTTTTGTTTGCAATTAATTATTTTAAAGTTTACCAAAAGGATTTGACCTGACTTAAAATGAAAGGCAAGACCAAAGCAAGATCACCAATGTAAATGTTAAAATAAATATGCCATGTAGCATGGACAAGGTATAGGACATAGCAGGGACAAGGAAGAAAGGATTGCTTGTCAGGATGGAGGGGGAAAACAGTGATAAAACAATGATTGTGCTAGAAATAATTTGAATGAGCAGAAAGGAAGTTGTAACATAAGACCTGTAATCCATGGGTTTAAAAAATAACCTGAGAGATAGGGAAGAAGTTGAGATTTCTTCCCCAGGTCAAGAACACAAGCTATATATAACAGTCATTCAGTGACTAAATAATGCACTCCATGAGCATCCATCTTGGATGGTAACTGTTTCCAGAAAGTTCTAGTCTAAAATAATAGGTCAAATACCATATTAACAGAGACAATGGAAAGAGTTTTATTGCAGTATTGTATCAGCAAAAAGCTAAAAACCTGAAAGTCTTAAGGTGGAAATGTATTTGGGTCATTGCAAAGCATGTTAGCAAGTGCTCTGGAAAAATAAAAATAAATCCAAAAATAAAACTCTGATGTGGACAAAAAAGGAAGTGAGGCATGTCAGTTGATAATGTAGTTATCTATTAATACATGTAGTTATCTATAATACATGATTGGCACAATCTGAAAAATATTAAATCATTAATCTGCATTTGCAGTATTATTAAATGTGTGTGTGTGTGTGTGTGTGTGTGTGTGTGTGTGTGTTGGTGTGTGTTTGTGGCAGTCCTAAGGCTTGAACTCAGAGCCTGGGCAATTTCCCTGAGCTTTTCTATTCAAGGTTAGTGCTCTACCAGTTGACCTACAGTTCCACTTTTGCGTTATGGTGGTTAATTGGAAATAGGAGTCTCACAGACTTTCCTTCTTGGACTGGCTTCAAAACACAATCTTCAGATCTCAGCTTCCTGAGTTCCTAGGATTACAAGCATGAATCACTGGCTCAAACTGAGATTTATTCTTGTTATTATTTTTAATGGTTTTTTATTGTGAAAATACTGTACAGAAGGGTTACAATCACATGAGCAAGGTAATGAATACAGTTCTTATCAAGCATTGTTGCCTCCTCCTTTGTTTTTCCCCTACCATCCCTTCCATCCCTCTTCCACGATTACACTCCCCCGAACCCCGCCTAAATTGTAAAGTTCATTGTTCAATAGTGTCTTGTGCATCTCATTGTTACAAGGGGTCAAACTATATCCCTATTTAAACATTTTGTTTTTTCCCTTGCCTTCCCCAAATTGTACTGACATCAAATGAAAGTGAAAACGGGTTATACAGTGGGGGAGGAACATACAAAGCAACAAAAAAAATCACATGGTACCTTACAAATATGTTAGAAACAATACCAAAAAAGAAAAAAAAAACACTTGTGTCCCTATCTTGGAGTTCATTTCAATTAACATCAGCCTATCTGTTAATACTATGCCTCCATCAGAAAGAATGACATCGCCCCATTTGTTAGGAAATGGAAAGACTTAGAAAAAAATTATATTAAGTGAAGTAAGCCAGGCCCAAAGAAACATAGGTCCTATAGTTTCTCTTATTTGCAATAACTAGTATATGTCTAGGACAAGCAGAAAAGGCCAAAAGCTATGTACATATGACCAGATAATATGATATTCTTATTATTATTGCTGTTGTTATTCCTAGTTTTAAAATGAGGAAACTAAAGTATAGAAATGCTAGCTTATTTGTCCATATGCTCGGTTTGGGAGTGGTGTAGGTAGGCCTTGGGTTCAGGTAGTCTGGCTGTGGAGGCTTAAGAGTATTAACAGTATTACAAGACTTTGTCATTACTCATTGAGCTGGCCACCTGTGCTTAGTGAGTAGCATGTACAGAATATTTCTTTCAGTGTCCTGAATGAATTCATTTCTCCTAGTTTTCTTGCTTATAGTTCTGAAGGGTAACTGGAATATGTGGGAATGCATCACTGTAGCATAAAAGGGGAGCTTGCCAGAACAGTCCACACTGTTCCAATGCCTAGAGAACAAAATGTTTTTCAGTGCCTAAACACAGTGTCTCATGTGTCCAACATGGTAGGACACTGTTCAGAGACCCTCATCTGCAATATACATAGGACAGGTACAATTGAGCATACAGCTTCTGAGTGGCTGTGTTTTGGGAGGTTTTCTGGAGGTGGGGGGGATGGGGTTGGATAATGGAAAATCAGTCTTATGCCGTTCCTTCCTACCTACCTATGAGTAAGAAATATGCTTTCTAGAAATTGTTGAGCACCAGTGAGTTTTATCTTTATTGAACTCAAAGTATAAACTAGTGCACAGTGGCCTATTTCATACCATGTGCTAATACTGCAATAGCTGATGAGAACTTGAAAGTGAGCAAATCAGATACAGTCTCCAATTGCTGAGTCTGTGTACCAATGCAATTTGGCACTACTGGCACAGGAGTCCATGAATCCTGACAAGGTAGGCAAGCTAAGTTGCCATGCTCTTTCCCTTGTACCATGGCTCTGTTCCTTCCATATCTCAGACAGTGCATGACAATCAATGCTGAGACTATTCCCAAACCTCTCAGTGGCTGCCACAATCTCTCCTGAGGCTGGGCCCTCGAATTGAAACTATTCAACCACCAAGGTGAGCACTTCCAGACACACAGAGGGCTCATGGTGAATCTCCTTTGGAGATCCCAGAATGCGCATAGGAAATGCTTCCCAGTAGTAATGCAGGTAGAAAGAGACATGCAGGCTGAAACTGTGGTTGTCAAAGACACTGTTTCTACAAGGCATTGCACACATTTGGCTTGCTTTTGGAAGACTGTTGAGGATTATTGGGGGATATGGGGTTAAATTCCTTGAGGTCCCCTCTGAAAAATACTTAACTTTCAATTACTAGACTGGTGGACATTGCAGCTTCTAGTATCCTTAAAATTTGAAAGTAGAAGATCTACCATATGCTGGAAAAAGACATGGAGGACCATCCTTGGAGACTAAAAAGTGACAAATGATAGGCCCAGGAATAGAGGGAAGGCCAATTGTCAGAGCAATCATATCTCCTCAGTACCTGCTGCTTTGATCGACAGTGGTTCCTAATCCATATCAATAATTTTTTCCAGTCCCTCTGTCATGTCTGAGTTGCTTAATTTAGGCACTGCATTGATGTACTTGGGTCAACTTATCTTAGTCCCAACCCCCACCAAAGGTTGCATTTGCTCTAGAAAATATCATGCATAAGTCATAAAGCACTTACCAGCTTCAGAATGTTTTGAGAACCATTTCCCCAAAATGGCAACCATTACATTTTTTTTCAAATTTGATGTGTGTGTTTTATTTTTTAATAAGTTTTTTATTGTGAAAATACCATACAGAGGGGTTACAATTACATGAGCAAGGTAATAAGTACATTTCTTATCAAGCATTGTTGCCTCCTCCTTTGTTTTTCCCCTA